TGATGCGCAGCTGTATTTTCAGCATCATTACTCCAGTCTTCAGTGTCACATGATATTCAGAAATCATTCTAATATGCTGATTTGCTGCTCAAGAAACATTTCTGATTATTATCAATGTTGAAAACAGTTCCCAATGTTTTTGAGGAAACTGTAAATGTTGTGTTTGATTTGGCATGTATTTCTGCGTCACACACCTCCACGGTCCTGTCGTAGGGCAGATCCGGCTGCTTCTTCAGCTTCTTCTCCAGGTAACTGCTGGCCTCGTGGTGTTTGACCCCGACGCTGGTGGCCCTGAAGCCGCAGAAGTACCCAGCCGGGTCGCATTTGTACAGCACGGGGCCCGTCTGAGGGTCCATCGCGATCAGCATCATGCCTGAGGGACACACAGCATCAGGTCAGAGCCGCAGCAGGACCAGGATCAGAACTTAGCTGAGACGAGAGCAGCGTCACTCACAGCAGCCCAGCGGCCTCATCTCTGCGTTCTGTGTGTAAACCTGAGAGATGTCCGCCATACGCCGGCACAGCATGTCCGCCGTGATGTCATAGCCGAACTTATACTTCCACTCGGCCGCCTCGATGCGAGCCCGATGAACCTGAGAGCGGCTGTCAGCTACACACACACACACACATGCATATGTGAACTTACACCAACATGTGAGAATTATCTGATAGAGAAGACACACACCGTAATGTCCGGTCATGACAAAAGATTAAACACTAAGAGTGTGTGTTTTACCGACACTTTCTTCTGTGTGAGCAGCACAGCGCAGTCCGTCCCTCTGATGGCCACCGTGGTCAGCCCGCTCTGACCGATGGCTTTGAAGGCATATTCTGTCCAACATCACATTCAGTATTACACAAACACAGCAGACCAGGAACTCTGAAGGACACTCAAGTCATGGCATTGAGTGAAGGATTTCTGACTAATGAAGATTAGCTCTGAACTTAAAAAGGTCTGGACCCACAGGTGGTGGTGTTTCATGCGAAATAATAAAATAAAGTTTCAATATGACTAGAAAACACACATTACGATTCCGAGTTAATCACAGAATACTATATGCATTACTCTGTCACCAGTAGTGGCATTAGTCCAGTAAACATGTTTAGAGCTGTAAACAGGAATAGTGGATATAACGCGATCTCTTACCGACTTGATACAGGCGGCCCTCCGGTGAGAAGATGGTGATGTGTCGATCAAACCCCGCGTTTGAGCCTCTAGACATGATTAGAAACACACTTCACAGCGACTTCAGCAGCTCAATCCGTCAAATTCACGATCCTGCTGCTCTATAACGCGCGGAAGTCTGTCGAGTTGAGAGTGAATAAACGATTTTTTAACTTTCACTTTCTCTTTCGTTCCGTCGCGTCGTTAAACTCGGTGAGGAACACACACACACACACACACACACACACACACAGGT